TTATAGGCAGCATATGTATGGGTTTTGTTTATTATCCATTCAGCGACCCTATGTCTTTTGATTGGAGCATTTAATCCATTTAGATTTAAAGTAATTGTTAATAGATACGTAGTTAATGCCATTTTATTATTCATATTTTTTTTTACCTTTTTTTTTTCTCTCTCTCTCTTTTCATCTTAAAGAAGTCCCTCTATGATTTCTTGTAATACTGGTTTGGTGGTGATGAACCCATTTAGCTTCTTGTCTGGGAAGCTCTTTATCTGTCCTTTGATTCTAAATGATAACTTTGCTGGGTAGAGTAATCTTCATTTTAGGCCTTCACTTTTCATCACTTTGGATATTTTCTGCCAATCTCTTCTGGCCCGCAAAGTTTCTGTTGAGAAATCAGCTGGCTGTCTTATGAGAGCTCCCGTGTAAGTAACTATAATAACTGCTTTTCTCTGGCTGCTTTTAAGGTTTTTTTCTTTGCCTTTAACCTTTGGTATTTAAATTATGATGTGTTTTGGTGTGGGCCTCTTTGGGTTCATCTTGTTTGGGACTCTTGAGCTTCCTGGGCTTGAATATCCATTTCCTTCACTAGGTTAGGGAAGTTTTTCATATTTCTTCACACAAATTTTCAATTCCTTGCTCTCTTTCATCTCCTTCTGGTACTCCTGTGATGTGAATGTTCATACACTTGATGTTGTCCCAGAGGCCCCTTAAACTGTTCTCAATTTTTTGGATTCTTTTTTCTTGTTACTGTTCCGACTGGGTATTTCCTACTACTTTGTCTTCTAAATCACTGATTTGATCCTTTGCTTCATCTAGTCTACTGTTGATTCCCTCTAATGTATTCTTCATTTCAGTTATTGTATTCTTTATTTCTGACTGGTTCTTTTTTATGTTTTCTATCTTTTTGTTGAAGTTCTCCCTGAGATCACTGAGCGTCCTTATAACCAGTGTTTTGAACTCTGCATCTGATAGGTTGCTTGTCTCCGTTTTATTTAGTTCTTTTTCTGGAGCTTTGTTCTGTTCTTTCATTTGGGACATGTTTCTTTATCTCCCCATTTTGGCTGCCTCCCTGTGTTTGTTTCTATATATTAAGTAGGGCTAACATGTCTCTCAGTCTTAGTAGAGTGGCCTTATATAGTAGGTGTCCTGTGAGGCCCAGTGGCTCAGTCTCCCTGGTCACTAAAGCCTGGTACTCCAGGTTTGTCCCTTGTTTAGGTCGTGTGTGCCCTCCTGTTATAGTTGAGCCTTGGTTCCTTTGTGCACATCAATGAGAAGGATTGACCCTCATGCTCATTGGTTATGAAGACTGGTCATTACTACAATGAAGAAGGTGTTGTGGAGGGGCTGACACTATAGAGCAGGATTCACTTTACCAGGGCTCTAGTGCCTGCTCAGTGTGCCATTTGGGTGTGTCATCCTTGGAGGCAGCTGGGTAATGCTCCAGCTCAGTTTGAAGCTGGCCACTGGGTGTGCCAGCCACAGGGCCATCTGGGGGTTGAGGGGAGACCTGCTGTGGGCCAAGTTCAGCCACAGTCTTTGCTCTGTCCAGGGCCCCCTGGCATAAGCCACAAAGCAATCCACAGATGGCTGCCACCTGTGCTGTGCTTGGAGGTGCCTTGAGAGGGCAAGCTGCAAACCAAGGCTGGCTGCCATTAGTGCCAAGCTTAGGGCTGTTCAGCCCGAGGTACAGGACATGCTGAAGGCAGATGCTGCTTATTTGGGTTTTGTGGACCTTTGAGAAGCTTCAGGAAAGTCTGAAGCATGAGCCAAGGAAGGCAGTTTTTATGAAAAAGACACTGGAAGTGGTTTGGGCATGCCTGAAATTTAGGTGGGGCATGGTATCAGAATTACCAGGGCTGAATGAATGAATGGCATTAGCCAAGTTGATAGACACTCAGATATGGTGGCTGCCTGCATCTCCACCCCAGAAAGTAGAAGGCTCAACAAAGAAACAAAGGCTTCTGCCAGCTCCTCCATCCGGGAGAAAGCTGCCCCTTCAGCCCTCATCCTGAAGCCAGACAACTCAGTTCCTCCCTGTATGTCCCTTTTGCCTTTCAAGCTGCTGCCCCAGTGCTAGAGCTCACAAAGAGCGAGTCTGTCAGTGAGTAAGTCCATGTGTGGGTCCTTAAAGAGGAATGCCTGGGAGTGTAGCTGCCCTCCATCCCACTGCTGGTTTTCACAATCAGAAATTATGGGGACTTCTCTCCCAGGCCCTGGAACCCTGAGCTGGGAATCCTGGTGCAGCGCTGGGACCCTTTGCTCCTCCCTGTGAGACTTCCGCAGCTGAGATATCCCTCCTGATTTTTAATGGTCACATACAGGTATGGGACCAGCTCATTCTGCATCTCTGCCCCTCCTACCAGTCTTGAGGTGGCTTCTTCTCTATGTCCTTAGTTGTAGAGCTTTGGTTCAGCAAGACTTCAGGTGATTGTCAATGACAGTTGTTTTGTAGTTTAGTTGCAACTTTGATGTGGTCTGAGAGAAGATAAGCACAGTGTTTACCTACTCTGCTATCTTGATCGGGAAATGATATGTGGGTTTTCTGTACTTGATTTCAAAAGGCCCCTCCCTGGGAAAGCAGCTCTGTGGCAGGCATGAAAAGGTGGGCTAGTTTGCTTAAGTGCTGAGAATTTGGAAATAAGATTTGAAGGCTGTTGGTGAACTAGCATAGGGAGAGGGAGGAAGAGTGGTTGCTGATTGCTGTGCCAGGTTGCCTAGTTACAGCCAGAATTCTTCTACCCACTCATATGGGAGCCCACCACTACCACTGTCAATTAATCCATGAAATGCTACTTGTAGGGACAAAAGTGTGACTGCTTTAGCAACTTCATCATGGTCTTCCTTCTCACCTGTCAAATTCCAGGTACTTTGGGCAGGGAGAGGTCAAGAACTCAGGGGATTCAAATCTGAGAACTGTGCAACACTGCGCACCTGCTTTCTTGGTACAAGGTAAATGCCACATTTAGCTGATGTTTATTTACTGCCTCTTCCCATTAAATCAGCACAAACATCAGTTCTTTTTTTTTNGCAACCTTGTTGTTAGGAGCATGTGCTGTCATCAGCTGAGCCATCCTGTCACCTGTTGGCAGCTCAGCAGCAGCTCAGCAGCAGCTCAGCTTGGGCGCAGCTCACTGGCCCATGTGGGAATCGAACCAGAGACCCTGTTGCTCAGAGCTCATGCTCTTAACCAACTGAGTCACTCGGCCGGCCCAACATCTCCTTTTATAATCATGTTTTATAGCTTTTAGATATTGTTCAGCTGTTCGAGAGTAAATGGATATATGATTTCATTTGATGCTTTCAACAATTTTGGGTAGGAATTATTAGTCCACATTAAAAATGGTGGAGAACAAAGAGACAGAAAAACTAAGTCATGTTTTTCATGTTCATGGAGCTGAGAGCAGCAGAACCAGATCTCAAACTCATGTCCTCAGGCTTTAAGCCCAGTCTCTAACCACATCAACACTCTTGGCCAAGTGCTTGGTTCAGCACATAAAAGGCTGTTGTATCCATGGTTATTAATACTACAATTTAGGAAAAATATTTGCCTCCCAATTTCAAACTTTAAGGCACACTCAAGGGTGTGAAATGATCTATAATCTAATGATATGAATTAACCTATGCTATGCTTGCTTTTTGTGCCTTTGGGGTATTTCCCTATACCCCTGATGCTCTTTACACTGGCCCAGCTCCAAACATATTAAATCAGATTGTCCAGAGTTGTGGTCCAAGAATTTGTATTAATAAAAAAACCAAAAACCTAACACAAAAGAATGCAAACAAAATGGAAATGTAAACCAATTTCTTGTATAAGAAAATGGGAAGACAACAACAGAAAGATGTCATTTTCTCCTAAGCAAACCTTTATGTTAATACCTCAAAACAATACTTCAAGAAAAAAAACATTGGAAGCAATTAGCTGATGCTAAAGCTTGCTTGGAAAAACTAACAAGCATGAATAGGTCAGAATTTCTGCAAAAGGACAGAGGTGAGAGGATTTGCCTTCTGGGATTTTATACCATGTTATGAAGAAGACAGCTCTTTCCACCTCCCAGCGCTGGCCTAAGGTGATCTACTGTCACTGTGTTTGTCTTCATAATATCAGCATGAAATTTTTGAGGAGACAAAAGTCTGTGAACAGAGCAGGAGGGGGCAGACATAAGAAGAATGATTTAATTCTAAAGAACAGTGGAGAGACAATGGCTTAAAAGATTTAAGAAGACACATGTAGATGAGAGGGTATGGAAACAGGTGCTCTCATATATTGCTGGTAGGTATTTATTCTTTGATACTGGATAAGGGATCTTTCTTCTTAAAAATATATCATCTAATCCTTCAAAATGTCATTACTTTCTTCACCTCTGAACCCACATGGTCTTCAAAATCTTCTAATTTTCCAAGTTTCACCATTTTTAGGAGCAGTGGGGCCTTTGGGGGGAAATAAGGTGCATGAAGCCATTTTCTCATGTGTATATGTAAAATACACATTTTCAAGCATTAAGTGGAGTGGTCATAGTCTTAGTTTGCCCAGACACTCCAGGCATATGGCTATTATCCCAGTATAATTATTAAGAACTCTTCTCATAGATTTCCTGATTTGGACAATAAATTATATGATCACCCTATTTATAAGGCAAGGATCACATGTATTTTAGTGTAAGAGGATAATAACTTTGCCTAGATGACCTTGCATTCTCCTCTAAGACAAGGAAGCGAGTCCTCCACACCTCACATTCCCTCAGCATGAACTTTGCTTAGGTTGACTCAAGGGCTTTTTGGGATGCAGGCCTGAGTTAGCCTTGAGTCCTCATAAACAAGATGGGATCCCTGCGTGTTCCATCAAAGGCGCCCCTCTAAGCTGCCACTTATCTAACTGAAAGAGAGAAAGGGGGGCGGGGAGGGATGTGGTAGGAACTTAAGAAGAAACATGGAAATACAGAGAAAAATGATCTTTATTACTGGAATTGCCTCCTTCATCTGTTTGCAATAAAACGGGAGGAAAAGGAGAGAGAGAGAGAGAGAGATTTAAAGCCACCAATGACTCCCAGGTCCTCTCTCCCCAGTCCCCAGGCACACATTTCAGTGAGAGATGCTCTGATAGGAAGTCTATTCTGGAAGAGGCAGCCTGTCTCAGAGGTGCTGTAGGAGAACCTGTGACATGGCAGTTTCTATAGAGATGGGTCTCTTTCCTAGGAAAACTAGGGAAGCAGAATACGAAACCCTAGCAACCAGTTGAAGTATTTTTTTTTATATGAGGGTTTTCTTTCATATTAAAAAGATTTTTATTAAAATATAGCTAATGTAAATGTTATATTAGTTTCAGGTATAAACCATAGTTATTCAACATTTATATACCTAAAGAAGTGATCACCATGATAAGTTCAGCAACCAACTGACACCGTACCGTACTATCACAGTATTATTGACTGTATTTTCTATGCTGTACATTACATCAGGTGTATAGCATAGTCGATAGACATTTATATAATTTAATAAGTGATCCCCATAACTAGTCTAGTACCCACCTGGCACTATACATAATTATTACGTATAATTGATTATATTCTCTATGTTTTACTTTATATTCCATTGACTATTTTGTAACTACCAATTTGTATTTCTTAATCCCTTCACCCTTTTCACTCGGCCACCAACCTCCCCCCATCTATCACCCTGATAAATCTAGTACCTATCTGACATCATACATAGTTACTACCATATTATTGACTATATTCCTTATGCTATCTATACCTTACATCTCCATGACTACTGTGTAACAACCAATTTGTACTTCTTAATCCCTTTCCCTTTTTCACTTATTCCTAACCCCCTTCCTGTCTAGCAACCATCAAAATCTATGAGTTTGTTTCTGTTTTGTTTGTTTATTTACTTAGTACTTTAGATTCAATTTATATGTGAAATCATATGATATTTGTCTTTTGCTGTCTGACCTACTCCACTTAGCACAATACCCTCTAGGTCCATCCATGTTTTCACAGGTGGGAAGATTTCATTCTTTCTAATGGCTAAGTGATATTCCATTNAAAATTAGGCTGATGGTAACCACTTTGAACACCTCTTGTAATTGCAGAAGTCAAACATAACTTGTATTTATCTTTTGTTATCAGTATATATTGAGTATTACAATATTAATACAGTTTTTTTCTTTCTTAAAATGTGTATACATTTTTTGGCACCCTCTATGTGTAATATAAGCTTAGTTATTCATTATGGGCGAAAGGGTTTTGTGCCTGATTAGAGAATTTTTCAGATTTCCTTCTTAGGAGCATATATAGCAATGTACTTTCTCTGTCATAAAATAAATGTCATAATAGAAAATTTCAAATAAGTGGTATTATACCACATCTTGCTTTTTAAAATTCTTCTGTAACTTGTGTTTTGGCTCAGATTATATTTTTGAGGTATAACTATATGAATATATGTAGATCTATTCCATTCACTTTAACTGCTGCGTAATATTCTACTGTTTGATAAATATACCACAATTTATTACATATTCTCTTGGTGATGGACATTTAGGTCAGTTTTGAGTCTGTTGCTATTACATATAGTGAGCCAATGAACATGTGTGGCATGCCTCCCCGCACACATGTGCAATGGTTCTCCAGGAGATAAAACCTGGTTCCGTTAGCTGTGGCTGAAGGGGATCATAGAGGACAAACATGGCAGCTATGACCAGCCCCCATGGAAGGGAGGAGGCAGTGCTCAAGGATGGAGGGGTGATCGTGCAATGATACCCCAAAATTGTCTATTGGTTTTCAGACTTCATAGCCCAGGCAGCATATAAGTGATTATAAAGCTTTCAAAAATAACCTGTAATGGGATAAATGTGAATTCACAAAGTAGTTAGGAAAAAAATTATGATTTAAGTGTAGGAAATTAAATAGAATAAGGCATTCCTGTTTTACATAAAGTATTTTAATTATTAAGTCGGTTTTGGTCCAATAGTTTACTTTTTTTTTTTTAAAGTTAGGTTTATGGCAGTATGCTGGAGCTGAAACTATTTAGGTTTGAGCTCCAGCACACTGGTACAGCCTGTACATGCTTTTGTTTAATGGTGTG